ACTTTTCTAGAACTAGAGTATGAATGTTTTAACACAATAACTGAGTAAATGACATGAAGTCTATGTTAACCAGTTTGATGAAAATATTTCGAGTTGGATGTGAAAACACTACACTGTACCCCATGTTTGCATTAATGTATACAGCTATCATTTAATAAAAATAAATAAATAAATAATTTGAGATTGTTTTGATTTCCCCTTCACACCTAAAGAATATATATATATGTGTGTGTGTGTGTGTGTGTATTTTTTTTTTTTTTCAGATTTTGGCCAGGGCTGGGCTTGAACCCACCACCTCTGGCATGGGGCTGGCGCCCTACTCCTTTGAGCTACAGGCGCCGCCCCTGAAGAATATTTTCGTTGGATGTAGAATTCTAGGTGGACACTTACTTTCTTTCAACCCTTGAAAAATGTTGTGCCCCTTTCTTTTCTTCTCCAAATGTTTTCTGAGCAATCTGATGTCATTCTAATTATTTTCCCCCTATCATTACAGTACCGCATATGTCTCCTATTTTAGAGATTTAGCTGTAGTTTTTAGAAGTTTGGATTATGGTGAATCTTGGTGAAGATTTCTTTGTGCTTAGAAGATCCTCATTGGGATTTGATCAGCTTTTTAGACATGTAGGGTTGTGACTTTTTGCCAAATTTGGGGGGTTTTTAGCCATTACTTCTTTGAGTTTTTAATTTTATATCTTTTAGCCTACCTTTCCCCTCTTCTTCTTCTGGAACGCTGATGATATTTGATCTTTTGTTACAGTCCCATGGGTCCCTGAGGCTTTTTCATTTGCCGATTTGTTTGGTTTATTTTTGCTCTGTTGCTCAGACGGGAACATTTCTATTACTTTTTGTTCTAGTTCACAGATCCTTTCTTCTTCTTTTGCCTCCATTGGGCTATTGAACCCATTCACTAATTTTTTTTTTAAGATTGCTGGATTTTTCAGGTCTAAAGTTTGTTTCTATTTTTTTATTTAAGTGTGTTCATAGCTGCACATTGAAGCACTTTTATCACGAATGCTCTTAGTCGGCGCATCTATTGATTTTTTTTTTCATTTAGTTTATCTTTTCTCTAGTTCTCCACATGATGAGTAATTTTTAACTGAAATCTGCACATCGCAGGTATTATGAGACTCAGGATGTCATTTAAACTTTGTCTTGTAGCTGGCTTTTCTCTAAACCATTCCAGTAGGGGAAGGAGGAGTGCCACTGTCTTTGTGCCAAGGAGAAGTCCTGATTCCCACTTGGCTGTCATTGACCCTTCACGGAGGGATGTGGTTCCCACTGGCCTCTCTGCTGCCTCCCTGACTGGGAGGGAGAAGTGCCTCCTGGTTGCTCCTCCCCTCCCCCCACGGTGCCACTGAGGCTGTGGGAGGGAGTGGCCTTGTTACTACTGAGCGTCAGACTGAAGGCCTGCTGTCCATAGGCCTTCTGTGGTACCATCCTAGTGGGGGAGAGGGGAAGCTTCATTGTCACTGGTGGGAGTAGATAGGTGTCTGTCCCTACAGCAGAAGAGGCTGGGCTTTGTCACTGCCCAGCAGTGATAAATATCCCTCCCCCACTTGACATTCTTTGACATTCACACCCTGATGAGGCGACAGAGCTGGGTGTTACAGCCTGGCAAGGGCAGAAGCCTGGCCTCTCCACTCAGCTTTTGCTAGTATGAGTAGAACAGGACAAGTTTTTTTGTGGTGTTTGGCTGCTGTGAGCATTTATTGCCTAAAAATTTTCTATCTTGCACAGCTACCCCTTTCTCCATCCTTTATCTACTGAGACCAGGCTTTTGTTGAGGCGCCTTTTGTTTGCGCCTGTTTTAGGTTGCTCATTTCTTTTCTTTTTTTTTGAGACTGAGTCTCACTCTGTTGCCCAGGCTAGACTGCTATAGTGTCACGTAGTTACATAGTTCACAGCAGCATGATCCTCCTGCCTCAGCCTCCCAAGTAGCTGTGACTACAGGCATGTGCCATAACACTGGCTCCTTTTTTAATTTTTTGTACAGATGGAGTCTTGCTCTTGCTTAAGCTGGTCTCAAACTCTTGAGCTCAAGCACTCCGCCTGCCTCGGCCTCGCAGAGTGCTAGGACCCCAGGCGTGAGTGAGACATGGCACCGGGCTGAGTTGCTCATTTCTTGAGCTCTAAGTCTATAAATGTGAAGCAAAACATCCTCACCCTTTCATTCCAGGGTCTGGATGTGCCCAGCCAGCATTGCTTCTCTCACCTTTTCAGAGGCTTCTTGTGCTTGTTTTATATACACTGTCCTAGGTGTTTACTTGTATTAGCAAGAGGAATTACTGAGATATATTTATGCATCTTCGTGGAAGCAGAGCTCAGTCGCTTATGTTTTAATATCATGTATTGTTTGTTCTTCGATATTTCCTACATATGTTACAGTCTTTGCTAATTCCAGTAGTCGAAGTCCTTCAGGCTCTTTATATGTGGTTTCTTCTTTCTTTCTCTGACTCTTAAGTATTGACGATTTGCTCCTCTTCTGACACCACCCTGAAGTTACCGTGGCTTCGTGTTGATCTCAGCCTCATACTTCTGCTTACCCTCATTTACCGCTTCTCACATTGAGGTCCACGTATGGGCATGTATGTCGGTAGATATATTCTTTGGGGGCTGATGCATTTTTTTCAAATTTCAGAATACTGGGGGTGTGTATGTGTGTGTTTCAAACTGTCGTGAGAACAGGATGGAGATGCCATGGAGTGGGAAAGTGCTTGTGATCTGATGTCCGACACTCGGATGGGCCTGTACTTGTAAATTTCTGTTTCACAGTATCTTTGACTTTTGTCATCCTCATTAAAAATCTTTCAGTGTTTATTGATCAAAAATGTCTTGATTTGTTTTCATGTGAATTTGCAGGGGGCTGTGTGTGTGTGAGAGAGAAACAAGCAGAGAGGAGATGGACAGCACACATTAGATGGAGGGGTTTGCATTACCCCTGATGTGAGGCCGGGGACGCTAGCAGGTCAGGTGGGCGGCTTCTTTCCACATCTGAGTCTTTTCCCTAATGTGGAAATCTCAGGTTTAAGGTCTAGACTTTCCAGTAGACTAGGGTGACCAGATTCTAACATCTGTAAGGCTGGACAACATGGCGCTGGGTAGGGGAGGACGCCGGGCAGAGCCTGACAACAAGGCAAACTTTGATAAGCAGTTCTTGATAATCACTTCTCAGCAATTATTTATTACATTTAACATTATAAAATTAACAAAAATAATATAAAACTCATATTCTGGCGAAATAGCCATATGGTGGCGGAAAACCGTATATTCCCTTCTTGTTCTCCAGCCCATTCGTGCATTCTTTCCAAAAATCGGGACTTTTTTAAAATGCTGCGGGACGCGGGACAAAGTGTTGAAAAGCGAGACGTCTGGTCACCCTACAGTAGACCCAACACTTACAGCCAGACCTTGGTAGCGGCATTTGTGCTGGTTGCCAGGACTCAATACCATCCATTTGTTTGTTGTTTATTGATCCCATCTCAGATTTCTGCAGATGAGGTTACTTGCTGAGGGTGGGGGAAGGGCGATGGGTAAAGAAACCTTAATTTTGCTACTTAAAAAAATAGATTTGTCGGGGAACAAAAAAGTATGTTTATTGTTATTAATCCATGTTCCAGTCTTTAACCAGAAGACCGTCAGAGATTCCTCTTTGCCAAAGGTTGCTGGTGCTCTGGTTTTTTGAGTTTCCTTGTAAATGCCAGTCCTGTCCCCAGTCTATTGTGAGAAGTCTGCTACTAATGTCTCTGTTTTTCTAGTATTGAAGAGACTGGAGAGTGATTATGAAGGTGCCCTTTTAGTTTTCTCACTGATGTATTTCTTATGTTCTCTTTAGGGCTGAAAAGACTGAAGTTCTGAGTGAAGACCTTCTTCAGGTAAGGCTGACACTGACTCTGGGCTCATGGACACCAAACATGTTTTCCCTTTTAAAACTAAGCCATCCCCACAGCTGTTAAAACTGCTCCAGCTACTCCTCAAACAAACTGTTGAGAGATACAATTTTTTTTTTTTTTTTTGGTCTTCTACAACAGTGCTTTACATATTGAGTGCTGGTTTATGTAAGAAGATCTTTCCAGAGAAATTTAAAGTCACTTTATCAGGCTAAGCATAGTGGCTCACACCTGCAATCCTAGCCCTCTGGGAGGCTGAGGCAGAGGGATCATTTGAGCTCAGGAGTTTGAGACCAGCTTGAGCAGAGCGAGACCCTGTTTCTGTTAAGAATTGGTGTTAAGCCAGGTGTTGTGGCACATGCCTGTAGTCCCAGCTACTTGGGAGGCTGAGGCAGGAGGCTAGCCTGAACCCAGGATTTTGAGATTGCTGTGAGCTATGATGCTACAGCACTCTACCCAGGGCAACAGAGTGAGACTCTGTCTCTAAATAAATAATAAATAAATAAATAAATAAAATAATTTCATCACACAGTTAGCAGGAGAGGTCCAGAGTCTGTGATCACTGTCTCTCCCGTTCTCTATGGCTGAAGTTTTCTCCCAGGTGTCCTTGTCTCTGTGGAAAGATAAGCCCTGATCATCCAGCCCAACAGCCCCATTCCCCCGCCCCGGCCCTCTGAAGTAGCACCACTCCTGTTGTGTCTTTAGGTGGAGAAGCGTCTGGAGCTGGTGAAGCAGGTGTCCCACAGCACGCACAAGAAGCTGACCGCGTGTCTGCAGGGGCAGCAAGGGGCAGAAGCCGACAAGCGCTCTGTAAGTGCCCTCCTTACCCCAAGCATCTTAAACCTTGCCCACTGCCCACTGAGGACAGGGATCTCACTCTTGGAGCCCTATTTGGTGTAGCTGTCTGTGTAGCCACTGTGTGTCTGCACACAGCCCAGCAGCCCCAGCTGCCTGTTTCTGCAGCATGACCGGCCTCTGACTGTTCTTGCTTTTTAGCCCCACCTGAAACATCCCCTCCCTCCCTAGGCAATGTTTGGGTCCCACGTGCCATCCTCCCCAGGATGATGCGACCAGGGGAAGGGGGCGGCAGGAGCATGCTCCACATCCCACTTCTAAGGAAGCTTTATCCTTGGTGGATATCTTACCCTTGATTCAGCTCATTCATAGATTCCATTCAGCATCTTAAGATCTCATGGAAAAAATAAATTATACTGTAGTTTTAGAGGTTACAAGTGACCTATCAGGGCCCTCAGAAAATCATTTTTGCTATTATGAGTCAATAAAGAGAGCTTGCTAAACCAGGCTACTCTAATGCCTTTGTAATTAGTGATTACGGGCATCACACAATGTGAGGCCACTCAGCCATCTGAGGTGTGAAGTCATTGCAGGTGCCTCCCCCTCAATAGTCACCAGAGATTAAAAGACATGCTTATATGTGGCTTCATTACAGGGGATTTGCCATCTAGATCCGTTTTCCTCCTTCTTTGAGTTGTATAGTCTACATTTGGTTTCTGTTGGGTTTTTTTCTGACGTGGAGTTATTGGCTTCCACGTCCCCACGTGCTCCAGTCCTCCCATCACTGACTACTGCAAAACCTGTTTGGCTTCCTCCCTCAATCTTTCCTTCTTCTCTTCCTGCCCCTGATTTCTTCTTTCTTAATATTCCTAGCCGGAGTCACTTGTGTGTGGTATAAATGAAACTTTCACTGCTCTGAAAAATATGTATAGAAATAATTCTGCATGTATCAAAAATTTCAGAAGGGGCGGCTGCATAGGCTACTGGGAGAGTCTGAAAGACTATTTGACATGAAACCTTTTTATCAAACCAGTATCTAATGGGGGGACGGTGGGGGCAGGTTGGGCCTCGCCTGCCTTTGATCTGTGTTCTTTCTTTTGCTCCAGGAAGCACTGGTTTTAAAATAGTCCAAAGTCCACTATGTTGTGGTAGTAAGAGTAGCATCTGAGGGTGGCGCCTGTGGCTCAAAGGAGTAGGGCGCCAGCTCTATATGCTTGAGGTGGTGGGTTCAAACCCAGCCCTGGCCAAAAACTGCAAAAAAACAAAAAAAGAGTAGCATCTGAATGTCACCACCAGGGGCTTAGAACCAGCCTTTGGTCTTGGGAGGTGGATTAGTACTAGCACTACTTTTCCAGAATAAGGTGGAGTTTTCAGTAAGAGTCCCTAAGTGGTCCATGCCACCTTCTGCACTGTTATTTGAGTTTGCTCTTTAGCCACATAGCTGTGGTTTCCAGCACCTAAATGTTTACCACATACCTTTAAATGTTTGGCCCTGAAAATTGTGGCTGACTGTCAAATGGGGATGAGCAGAAAGTGGGATTTGGTTACCACTATCTAGTGACCAGAAAAAGCGTTATTGTCCTGTGGGTACTGAGTAAGTAAAACTGGGTTTCTTATGTGAGATGGAGACAGGAAGGATGTGAATTAGACTTCCATTTTGCCGGCTGTAGTCCAGGCTAATAGCTGCTCATTCAAAACAAGTTTTTCAGCGTAAGGAAGGTGTCTGTCGAAGTCCTTGCATTTCCAACAAATAAACTGTTGGCGTGTGAAAGAGTTTCTCCACCTTATTCGACAAATACTTGGAAAGCATTGAGTCTGCCATGCAGGGCTGTGTGTGAGCCAAGTACTGAGTAAGCCATCTAGGACCTGCGTCGTCCCGGAGCTCCTCCTGTAGGGAAGCAGGTGTCACACCCGCACACATTCATGCTGAGCTCTCTTCCTGCTGAGAGGAATAGCTTGCTGGCAAGTAAATTATAGACAGTTCCCTGGGGAAGTGGCCATGAAGGGCAGGTAAACAGTAGCAGCCCCAAAAGGGGTGAACGTGCTTCTAGAATGGGGGGGAGGCGGCATATGCCAAGTTCCCAGAGGCAGGAAGAAGTTTGGCATCTTTGAGAAACACACAGGTTGTTGCTGTTAGGGTCTCATGGAAAAGTGATGTTGCGGTGAATAAGCATGCCTATTGAAATTGTATTTTAAATAAAGGTGACCATTTGCTCGCTCAGGCAAAATGGTGAGCTTCTTTATTTACTGTTGGTTTATATAATCAATCTTGTACATGCACGCTATACATCAATGACCTCATTAATATTCATCACAATCCCTCTGCACATGTGCACTGTACATCAATGATTTCTCTCTGCACATGTGCATTGGACATCAATGACTTCATTAATCCATTTAAACATCTTATGTCTACCTTGTAAGTAGCTCCTCCTTAGTAATCTGATAATCCCCCCAACATACACCTTTTAACATAACCCTTTCAACATAACCCAGTTTAACATAACTTAATGGAGAACATGTTGCTATCTGATGAAGCCTATGGCTATGAAGGAAAGAGACAGTTTGAAAATCTGTCCTACTGACCTCACCATTTGGAGGTAGTTACTTCAATCTTTAAAACAAGGCATAAAGAAACTTCTAGGGCATATAGAAATTTGTGTGCAAACCTCCGCTCCCACATGGGCCTTAAGTCAGGGGGTTTTTACGCCCTCAACTAACCTGGCCATATGGGATTCTGCCTCAGTTTCTCACAAGTATGCCTCCACAAAGTCTTTTCACTGCTCTGTCTCAAATAGCTTTTTTGGCCAGAGGCATATAGGCCTTTCGCCTATACAGGTGGCCAAAGTAACTGAACTATAGGCAATGCCCAGGTAATGAACAAGATAGGTTCTGTAGGTTTGTTCTTAGGTTGAATTTGTATGTAAGTTGGAACAGGCACATTTACCTATCACCTCTGATAGCCTCCATCCGTTAAGTGTGAGTCCTACGTCAGTGGATGTTTATAACTTGGGGACTGCCCATGTAGAGTGTTGCACACCAGCACGGAGAAGGGGAGCAAACCAGAGTGGGATTGGTGGGGACTGAGGAAAATACAGCACAAGAGAAGAGACAGAGCCAAAAGATGGCACTGGGAGGACTGACTGAGGGGATGGCTGCAGCTAGCACCAAAGCACAAAATCAGCTTGATTTCATAGTATCTGTACAAGGTTGTCAGGGGAAGTAGCATAGACAATATGGGGAAATAGCATAAACAAAAGACAAATTTTTGGCCTTAAAATATAATTTGAAAATGTAAATGACTTCAATAAAGACAAATCATCTTGTTAATAGTTTCTACTCAACTTAATTAACATATGACAAGAAGTAAGCCGGGGAAAGATCAGGAGGATCCCTGCATAGTTAACTAGACAAAGAAAGAGCTATGTGACTTCTGGCAGAGGAAGCATGAAGGAAGGAGTATGGTTGTTTGGGGAATGGAGGAGAAGCAGTTGGGGGTTCATTCCCTGAATGTTCCTAGGCTGTAGGGGCCCTGCCGCCTCACAACCTCCTCTCCACAGTAGAAAATGAGGAGGTGTAATGTGAGATGGGACTTCAGGGGATTGAGCAGACTTTGTAGGCCATGGTGAGGATTTGGACTTTGTCCCTCAAAGCAGAAGAAAGCCAAGGTTTTGACAGTGACATGATCAGATGTGCTGATAATGGTACAGATAATTAATTCCTGGAGTGGAGGCTGATTGCACCAGTGTGGGAAGGATCCAGGTGAGATGCTGTGGGGGCCATGAAGATGGACAGAAAGGAGGGTTTGTGGTAGACCCTGGAGGTGGAGCGTGAAGGGCTTGGTGATTGAGTGGAAGTGGGAGTGTGAAGAGGGGACAGAGGTTTTGTGGTCTCTGCCTTGAGCTGCTGTTGAATCCACAGAGTTGCTGAGGTCACAGGGGAGAAGATACTGGGTGAGAAGACAAATGGCCCTTAAACCCAAGCCCCCTAGAAATCGCAGCATTTCCAGCTTTGATGGGAGGAGGACCCAGCAAAGCAGGCAGCGGCAATGTGGTAGAGGGAGGTACTGTAGGTCCATGTGCTTGCTGCTCCCAAATCCCAGGCACCATTCTGACTTCTTCCCTTCTTGCCCCCCACATCCTGCTCGCCGGCTCTTCCACCAAACAGTTTCCATTCTGTTTCAACACTTACCACCCTGGTCCAAGCAGCTGTCATCTCTTCCTGAACACAGAGGTTCCTGTCACGTCTTCTACTCCAACCCCCTCCTGTCCTCCTTCTCTGCAGCTGCTGAGCCAACATTTAAATGGAAATTAGATGATGTCACTCTCCTGCCTGAATCTCACCCAAGGATTTCCCTTGTGGAATACCATCCCTACTCCTTACCTCAGCCCCCTGGACCTTAAGGATGTGTCTCCCACCGCATCTTAGGGCTGCTGCTCCCCGCCTCTTGGTGGGTCTCTGCCTCTGCTGGCCTGGCACCGCACACGGCCCTCTCTCAGCCCTCTCCAACCCTCGCACTTGGTCTGCCTTCCATGGGGAATGCTTTTACCCAGCATTTCAGGCTTGGAGCCTTTCCCTGACCTCCTGATTATATGTTTGCCGTTTCTTCTCACCCCAATCCTATCACCCTATTGTTTTCTTTGTAGTGCATATTATTATCTGAAATTGCTGTGATCACCCATTCCCATCCCTGATAAGGAAGCACAGATCTCCTCTCTCCATCGGGTGTGTTCCCAGTGCCTAAAACAGGACCTGCCATAATGGAGCAGAGACCAAAAATAGGTTCATGTCTTGAATGGCTGGTCTGTGAGTATTTCAGGCACCAGCCTGAACACGCTAGCTTGCCAATTCAAATCCTTCCTGTTCTGTAATGGGCAATTTAGCTCGGTGCTTCTGAGGTGCAGCTCCAAATCTGATTGCCCGAGGGAGTGAAGCCAAGTTGTGTTGCTTTCTGATTTTGCCTGACCTTGGGCAAGTTAATTACCTTGTAAGCCTTAGTTTCTTCATTTGGGAAATAAGAGAAATAATGATTTTTTACCCAGTAGGGTATTTGGGAATTCAACAAGGTAATGCATGCTCATGCCCAGCACAGTGCTGAGCTTAATACGAAGGAAATTAACCTGCTGCTGTCAGCAACGGCCCCACTTCGATTGGGCTGAAGTAGCCCAACTGAACTATTGAACCCTGAGCAAAAATCTTGGGCTTTGTCTTTTGGGGTGTGAACCACAGAAGAGCCAGTTGCCTGGGCTAGGATAGTAGATAACATTTTTGGGAGGTAAGGAATATGATAGTATGTGTGCATGTTTGGGGATCAGGTAGGTATTAGAATGAGACCTTTCTACCTGAGTCACCCTACAAACTGCGCTGCATATGCCAAGGTGATTTTTAAGAGAGAACCTATCTCTCATAGGTCACAGTGACTGCACCCAAATCTTGGGACGTTCTGTTTCCATCTCTTAATTCATAGGAGTTTATCTGCTAGAACCAGGGGAAAGTTTATTTTAATGGCGTCTCTTGGACCCTGAAAATCATCATGCAACATGAAGTTTGATAAGATATTCCCACATGGGCAATATCAGATCAGGACTGGTGTCACCCAGCATAGATCTTTGGCAGCAGAGGCAAACAAATTTCAGCAGCTTTCTAGATCTTTGGGGAATTTAATCCTTTGGAGACTGGATGGTCTTGTACATGAAGTGGGAGTGACCAAAGTGTTGGGGAAGTGAGCAAATAAATAATACCTTAATTACAGAGAGCACCAGGGTATATGAGATTGCTACAATGCTTGGCGTATGTTGAACCATCAATTTCTCCTTCATGTCGAGAATTTCTTTAGAAACGTATAATTTGTTAGATGCTACAGGCTCTTCATTTCTTATCTAATGCCTTTGGTCTGATGCCTTATTCCCTTTTGATATGAAGATACACCTCCTTAATCCATTTCTTCTTTTCTCTGGTCATCTGGTGACATCCTTTTAACTTGTTGATACTTAAAGCATTGATACAAATAAAAACTCATCAATAATTTCCACCAAGTTTTACCTAGAATCCCCCTTTTCCCACCCATGGAATCTAAGCCTTCAAATTCATATCAGTATCTCTCCTGGAATGACAGTTGGTACCCCATCAATAGAGGACTTGAGTAAACGTATTTTGTCAATTGCATTATTCAGTGATCTATGTTGCCATTAAAATAAAACTTTAAAAAAGACAGCTCTGTATGTAATGATGGGACATGATAGAAAGATAGACATCCTTACGTGGAAAGGAAAGTGAAGCACAGAGTCATGCATGTAATATGCTAATATTTGTAGGGGAAATGGTCACTAAAAGTGGACACACACACATACACATAAAATTGGATGTCAAACTGGGCGTGGCGGCTCACACCTGTGAAATTTGAGCACTTTGGGAGGCTGAAGAGGAAGGATTGCTTGAGGCCAGGAGTTCACCCAAGACCAGCCTGGGTGACATAGTGAAACCCCATCTTTACAACAATTTTTTTTTTTTTATTTAAAATGAATTTGTTCAGAATATTTATGGATCAATAAAAATCTGGTCACTACCATGGTCTCTGGTGAGGGGAACTCGGTGGTTGGGAGATGGGGTGGAAAGGAGACTTTGCTATGCACCTTCCAGCACCTGCTAGTTTTATGCCACACATATGCATATATTTTGTACTCAAAAATTTATTCATTCATTTGATAGAGAGCAAGAAAAAAGAAAAAGAGAAAGGTTATGCATCTTGTTAAACATTTAAAAAATGAAAAAGGAGTGGAAACAGGAATACTTTTCCTAATTTTTGGTACTTTATCTCTTAATACTGTCCTCTTTGCTACCTAAAGTCATCTCGGAATTGTCCATGAGGATGTTGGAGGATTGAAATGAGGAGAAAATGATGTCGCTTACCCTGGGTGAGGAGCAGGGCACCTCCAGCCCTGCACTTCAAACTCTGTTTCCCAGTCTGAATTTTGTAGAACAGATGCCTTGCTCTCCCCTCACCATGCTCCCTCTGAGCCTCTGGTCAGCCTCTCAGTCAGCCTTGGGGTCCTCCAGTGGCTGTTCTCATCCTGTGGAGTTTGACCTTCATTTTTCTATCACCCATTGGCACCGTTTTCTGCTCAATGCACTAATAGGACAAATCAAACTAGTCTTTTTTCACATTTGGAAAAACTCTGCTGTCCTCCTGGTGGATAAATTTCTCCAAAGGACGTTGACTCCTAGGGCATTAAGAGTCCCCTTCATGATAGGCAAGATCCTCACTTGCTCCTTTCTTGGATTTCGGAAAGATTCTGAAAGTCTTATCCTGAAGGACAGTTATGGGAGTGCAAATGTTCATCATAAACCAAAATGGTCTTTTTACGTGAGCTGGCCAGTATCACGACTGCACGGTCTGACATTCGGGGTAGAGTGTCTTCATGGATTGGTTAGTTGGATCTTTTAGGAACTTGCCAATTCAACTAGTTTTCTCAACCTCGTGCTGTTGACACTGGGAGCCTGGCAAGTCTTTGTTGTAGGAGACTGTTGTGTGCATCGTAGGACACGTAGCAGCATCCCTGGCCTCTGTCCACTGGGTGCCAATAGCATCCCCCATACTGTGACAATCACAAATGTCTCCAGATGTTGCCAGATGACTCCCGGAGGGCAAAATCACCCCTTGTCAAGAACCAAGGTCTTGACCTGTGCCCTTTCTCTGAGGTTATAGCCGGAATGTTCTGCTTTTTTCTGTGACGAACACACCCTGTTTCTCTGTACTCTCACACACACTTCTGTGAGGACAGATGTGGGTGTTTCTCCCACCCCAAGCAATTCTCCAACTTTCCAAACACCAGCTGGGTTTCCCACAGTTCAGTTCAGTTCTGACATGTCCACATGGAGTTGGGAAGGGACCCACAGCTTGAGGACTCTGTCCCGCAAGACCGTTCACCCCCTTTCAGATGCCAGTTGCAAATCCTGGCCTTTTGTGTTTCTGACTGACCGGCCATAAGGGGGTTCCCACAGCCGCCTCCTTGGCTTTGATAATATTTGCATGAGCTAAAATGACTCTCAGACTCCAGGGAAACCTCCTGATATTGGCCAGTTGGCTGTGAAGGATCTCAGAGGGTGCAGAACAGTCAGATGGAAAGAGACTTAGGGCAAGTCATGATGACGTTGATTCTTGAGGTCCACCACTTTACCACTGGCATGCACCAGCCCTCCACAGATACCAAGTTAGTGAATGAAGTACCTTGGAAGCTCCCTCGTAATAGTGACACCAGGAGGCTCTGGGCTGGGCATGGGCCACTTTCTTTTGCAGACCCCCTTTGCAGCTGTGCAGACTGGAGGACCTGAGGGGATGCCAGCAGCTCTTACCTTGTGCTTGCTCTGCGTTTTGTCTGCATGTGCTGTTTGGTCTGAGCTCAGGAAGGAGAGGGCCGGTCGGTACTCAGCGAGAAAAGAATAGGTCCTGCTATACTCCTGCGGTAGCACTTGCCCTTCCCTCCCTCTACAGTGAGGTCTTAACATTTACAGTCTTGCAGCTGTCACCACTATCTAATTCCAGAAGGTCTTCACCATCCCCAAAGGAAACCCGGTGCCCATTAAGCCTCCTTCTGCATTCCCTCCTCCCCTCACAGCTCCCTGAGAAAGACTATGCCACTTTCTGTCTCTAACAAGATGCTTATTCTGGATATTTCCTATAAATAGAATCATGCAGTGTGTGTCCTTTCGTGTCTGGCTTGTTTTGCTGTTATCTGCATGATGTCTGCAGCGCTGGTCCATGTTGCGGCCTATCACAACTTCATTCCTCTTTATGTCTGAATAATGGTCCCTACTTAGCATTCCCAGTATGCCTGGATATTCGACCTTTGTTAATCCATTTATCCATCAACAGATTTCTGAGTTGTTCCTACTTTTTTGGAGTGTTTCTCGCATGTGTGTACACGTTTCAGTTTGAATATGCTTTCAGACACTTTAAAACAGACACTCACATACATCCGTACACACACACACTGCCCCGCAAGCATGCTGTACAGAAATTCTTTTTAACTTATTGACATACTACTAAACTTTCAGAGCATTGCACAATTTTAAATTCCCACTGGTAATACATTTGGGTTCATTTCTGCATGTGCTCACCAGTATTTATTTTCTGTTTTCTTTTTAAATTATCATTGATATTGCTATAACCATCTTAATGAGTGTGAAGTGGTGTCTCATTGTGGCCTTGATCTGGGATTCTCTAATGAGTAATGAAGTTCATCACCTTTTTGTATTCTTATTGGCCATTTTTATATCTTCTATGGAGTGTACCTTTATTTTGATGTCTTCTTCCTTTGCCATGTGATTGTGGGTGAACAGTTTTCTCCCTTTTGACCATACGGTGCCTCATTTATAAAATAGGGCTAATATTCTTTTCAAGAAAGATATTGATATTTAAAAATTATGTTTACATGGCTCAAATCTTTGTTAACATGATTTTGAAATGTTCTTCTTTTTCCTTCTTGCTATTCTGCTTCATTTTAACATGCAGCACACAAGCCTTAGGCTTCCTTTCTAAAGAGACAAATTTAATTCAGTTTTCATTTTCTGAATTTTGATATCTCTAAGCCTAACCCATCACTATATAATGTGAATCTTTAGGTATAAACATTTTAAAGTGAGTTTGTTTCTTACTTAATATAATAATACCTAGGCAAATAGTTGCCTTTTTGCCATTTTAACATCATCGGGTGACTATTGAAAGTAGTTTTCATTACACCATTTGTTTTCTTTTCAGAAAAAGTTGCCTCTGACAACACTGGCTCAGTGTCTGATGGAGGGGTCGGCTATCCTGGGAGATGACACACTTCTTGGGTAAGATGATACCTTGCATGTATTGGTGCCAAATCTAGGTAAATCCCCATCCATTAAAAAAGGGATTAGAACTCCTCAGGGAGGCAGTGAGGACACCTGAGTTCTAGTTGGAGACTTGGATGGAGAAGAAGAAAATGTTACTGGTGAGAAATCAAAACCCTTTGGCTCTAAAGTTATTGGCTCTGTATGAGGACAGGGCCCACATGGAGAGGCTAACATACAATTGGTAAAGGGCAATGGCCACACTGCTGAACTTTCACAGCATTGTGCTGCTTGAATTGTCCACTGGTGATGCATTTGAATTCATTTCTGCACATGCTCACCAGTATTTATTTTCTGAGTTTTTTTTAATTATTAATATTGTTATAACCATCTTAATGAGTGTGAACTGGTATCTCATTATGGCCTTGATTTGGGTTTCCCTAATGAGTAATGAAGTTCATCATTTTTGCATTTCTCATGGAGTGTGCTCCATGGAGGGCTGTCACGGAAGCAAATGTGAAACCTCCCATTGTCAGGTGTTGGAACTTACAGGATTCCCAGGAGAGCAGGGCTTGCTGATTTTGAGTTCACAATAAAACAAACTAAAAACAGCCCCATGAGAGAGCGTCGGCAGACACAGTGAGTCGTAGAATCACACACTAAGGACGAGCAATCATGGAACAATATGAAAAAATGAAATGACTGTTTAAAATGAAATACAAACTAAAGGAAAAATAATTCTTGACCAAAAACAATATGAAAAAAGAATGAAAAGAATAAAAAACAAACAGGACTTAAAAATTATTATGTTGATAATTTTTAAATGTTCATTGAAGTAAACTGGAAATAATATAAAAATAAAGAATTGGTGAACTTGATGCTACCCAAAGTAATCTGTAGATTCAGTGCGATCCCTGTGAAAATACCAGTGTCTACCTGGGTATTGTGGCAGGTGCCTGTAGTCCCAGCTACTTGGGAGGCTGAGGCAAGAGAATTGCCTAAGCCCAAGAGCTGGAGGTTGCTTTGAACTGTGATGCCATGGCACTCTACCCAGAGCGACAAAGTGAGACTCTGTCTCTAAATAAATAAATAAAATAAAATAAAATACCAATGTCATTTTTCATAGAAATAGGAAAAAAATCCTAAAAATTGCATAGAACCACAAAAGACCTTGACTAGCCAATGCAATCCAGAGCAAAAAAAAACAAAGTTGGTGGACTCATACCACCAGACCTCTAAATATACTACAAAGCTGTAGTAACCCAAACAGCATGGCACAAGCATATGAACAGACACATAGACCAATGGAACAAAATAGACAACCCAGAAATTAATTCACTTATCAGCAATGAACTGATTTTCTTTTTTTTTTTTTGAGACAGACTCTCACTATTTTGTCAGTAGAGTGCCATAGTGTCACAGTTCACAGCAACCTCAAACTCTTATACTTAAGTGATTCTCTTGCCTCAGCCTCCCAAGTAGCTGGGACTACAGGTGCCCACCACAATGCCCAGCTATGTTTTTGTTGCAGTTGTCATTGTTGTTTAGCTGGCCCAGGCCAGGTGCAAACCCTCCAGCCTTGGTGTCTGTGGCCGGCGCCCTACCTACTGAACTACCAGCACTGCCCTACAGTGAACTGATTTTTGACAAAGTGCCAAAAGCACTCACTGGGGTACTGGAAAAACTGGATGTCCATATACAGAAGAATGGAACTAGACCCCCACCTCTCACCCCATATAAAAATCAACTCAAAGAGATTGCACATCTAAATGTAAGGACTGAAATGATAAGAAGACTAGGATAAAACAGAGGAAATGCTTCAGGACATTGGTCTGAGAAAAGAAATGAACAAGCCCTCAAAGCACAGGTGACAGAAGCAAAGGCCAGCAAATGGGATTAAGTCAAATGAAGAAGCTTCTGCACAGAAAAGATTACAGAGAGTGAAAAGGCAAAGTATGGGATGGGGTAGAACATGTGCAGACTTCTCATCTAACAGGAGAAAAACATCCAGGCTACATAAGTAACTCAAACGTCTCAGTAGCAAGGAAACAATTTGATTTAAAAATTCGCAATTGAATGCAAATAATATAACCTAGTCATTTGTACCTTCATATTAATCTGAAATAAAAAATACATAGTCAGGCATTGTGATGGGCGCCTGTGGTCCCACCTGCTCGGGAGGCTGAGGCAAGAGGATCACTAGAGCCCAAGAGTTTGAGGTTGCTGTGAGCTGTGATGACACCACCGCACTCTATCCAGGGCAACAGAGTAAGATTCTGTCTCAAAAAACAACAATAACAACAACAACAAAAATGTTGTTAAGAGAAAAATGTTAAAAGAATAAATAAACATTGGCAATTGATCTAAACAGACATACATATCTCAGAAGAAGACATACCAAAAATTGTATATGCAGAAATGTTCAGCATCACTAATCAACAGGGAAATGCAGCTCAAAACCACGGTGAGGTATCATCTCACCTCAGCATGGCTAGTGTAAAAAAGGCAAAAAATAACGAATGCCTGTGAGGATGTGGAGAAGAGGGAATTCTTATACATTGTGGTAGGAATATAAACTAGTCCAGCCACTGTGGAGAAGAGTACGGAGGTTCCTCAAAAAACACAAGGAGAAATATCTTGTGGTTCAGCCCTCCCACCACGGGGAATGCATCCAAAGGAAAGGAATCGGAGTGTATCAAAGAGACGCCAGGATCTACGTGTTCACTGCAGCATCATTCATAATAGCCAGGATGTGGAATCAACCTGTGGAATCAAAAGATAAATGCATAAAGAAAATGTGGTATTCATACAGCAGAGAATGCTACTCAGCCATAAAAAAGCATGAAATTCTGTCATTCACAGCAACGTAGCTGCTACTGGAGGATGTTCTGTTAAGTGAAATGAGCCAGGAACAGAAGGTAAAACACTATGTGTTCTCCTAAAGAAAAAAAAGATCTCAGGGCGGCACCCGTAGCTCAGTGGATAAGGTGCCAGCCACATACACTGAAGGTGGTCGGTTCCAGCCTGGCCTGGGCCTGCTAAACAACAATAACAATTGCAACAAAAAAATAGCTGGGCATTTGGCACGCACCTGTAGTCCCAGCTACTTGGGAGGCTGAGGCAAGAGAATCACTGAAGCCCAAGAGTTGGAGGTTGCTGATGCCACGACACTCTACTGAGCGTGACATAGTGAGACTCTGTGTCCAAAAAAAATGCATCTCATAGAAGTAAAAAGTAGAGCAAAGGCCAGGAAGGGGAGGGGTAAAGAGAGAATAGGGGAGATTTGTTATGGGATGTAAGTTCTAGCATTTTATACCACAGTAGGATGGCTGTTGTGAATAGTATGTACAGTATAGTTTTACATAACTAGAAGGAACGTGTTGAACACAAAGAAATAGTGTTTGAGGCGACGGATATGCTAATTCCCCTAATCTAATATACATTACGTGATCAAAACAGTACATGCACCCCACAAGTATGTACAATTATTATCTGTCAGTTAAAACAAAAGATTTGGTGAAGTTGAAAAAAATATGGAGCCGCCACCTGGAATGAACAGAATAAAGTGCAGAGATGAGGTCACGGGCATAGTTGAGAGCATGGGTATTAGCAGGCAAGGGTATGGCCTTCTGTCTACGCGGGTTCCTGGAGAGGAGAACAGCACAAGGGGAAGTCTGTGGGTGAGTTTTTCTTGTTCAGATTTGAGGTAAAACATAAGTCTTTAGATTTAAGGAATGCAAAATGTTTTGATTAAGATCAATAATAGGATGTCCACCCCTGGACACATCGTAGTAAAACTAAAGATTATCAACAAAAAAAAGAGAGAAATTAAAATCAACCAGAGGAAAAGAGATAATTGCCTATAGAAGAGCAATTAAACTGATAACGTCATCAGCCACAGTAAACGCCAGTAGATAATGGTGAACTATCTTCAAGGACAATAAACCTAGAATTCCATGATCAACCAAAGCATTATTCAAGAATATGGGAGAATAAAGATTTTCTCAGGCAAGAATTTAGATAAGTTATTTAGGCACAGTGGCTCAAGTGTGTAATCCTAGCAGTCCGAGAGGCTGGGGTAGGAGGATCCCTTGAGACCAGCCTAAACAAGAGTGAGACTCTATCTCTACTAAAAATGGAAAAACTAGTTGGGCATGGTGGTGGATACCTGTAGTCCCAGCTACTCAGGAGGCTGAGGCAGGAGGATTGCTTGAGCCAGGATTTGAAATTGCTGTGACCTAGGCTGACACCATGGCCCTTTAGCCTGGGCAACAGAATGGACCTCTGTCTCAAAAGCAACAACAAAAAAATTTAGACAATTTACTCATATATTCTCACTGAAAGATCTAGTTAAGACTAGTGTGATGTGGCCTATGTTCAGAAGAAAGGCAGGAATGCAAGCTGCAAGGTAGAATAAAAAGTGAATGTGTTGTAGAAGAGGAAAACAACAGGATCTTCTCTCTCTAACCATTGGCCGAGGGTCTGTAAGTTAGGTGGACCGAAGCGCAGAGCATCTGTGCATGGGAGAGGTAAGGGGTGAATGATGGAAGGGTGGTTAGAGTACACTATGCAGCATCTTAACAAAGAACTCTAATTTTCAGAGAAGTTACAAGACAGAAATGAAGGACTTTGAGTTTCTGGGGTGGCACATTGTGAGGAGGTAAATATTTAGGAAACTAATGGAAGACGCTGGTTAGTTAGTGAAGTTTGATTAACCTCTGTCCCCCTGGTAGGGAGGGGAGAAGAGAGACACCTTTACAAATGAATGCCCTACTTTTAGGCGTACAGAGGGAGAGCAGAGGGCTTTTTTAGTATCTCCTTTTCATTTGCCTTCAGCTCAAAAGAATTCTTATGCCAAAGTGGTGTATTTTAGGGTGGTAGATTCTGCTACCTTTCAGCAGAAAGGAATTTAAGTAAGCATTGAATTTAAAAAAAAAAGCAATATAATAATGGATTTTGGGGGGGGGGTTTACAAGCAAAGTGAAACCAAAATACTAGGCTGTAATACATGAAACACTGGGGAGGGAGTCAGCGTTTCAAGCCCTTTTGTTGTTTGAGAGGAAGATAAAGGTATTACATTTAAATTTAATGTCAAGTATACATGTGAGCAAGGTAGCAGAAACCACAAAAAGAGTACAAATGTATAACTTCCAAACCAGTAAAAAGATGAAAAATAAAATAGAGGAAAACCCAGAAAAGGGACTAAAAGATAAAGAATCAAGAAAGGAAAAAGCAAAATAAAAAACAGAGGTCACAGCAATTATTGTGTCTGTAGCATCTGCAATCATAAGAGATGCAAGTAGACTCAACGGTTAGAATACAGAGACTCTCAGGTGGCGAAACACAAAATCCTGTTCTGTGGTGTTTCTGAGAGTTATGCCTAAAATAGAATGACATGGCGAGGTTGGAAGGAAAGGTGACAGATTGAACAGACATCTGATTTTGTCCCTTTCCAAAACCCACTAAAACTACAATAAATGGATTTTTTTCCTTAAAAAACATAAATCCACCAGGGCAGGAAAAAGAGGAAAGGAAACAACAGCAGGACAGTTTTGTGGAATGGAAGGCATGTGGACGGTGAGAACCAGCGTGGAAGCCGACTCCCAGGCAGGAGGAGGAGCTGCTGACATCTAGCAGAACTGACCTTAGGAGATGGTCAGGGCTCAGGAACTGGTGGCTGCAGGGGGAGAATGGGTGGCTGGAATAAAGAATGTGGGTAGAAAACTTCTCAGGTACCAGTTGGATCTCTAAAACCCAGCTCCTGCCCACGTCTGTGGGGCACTCTCATTCCCAGCACCGCCACCACTGCAGAAGCCAGAGGTTTGTTCCCTAATGGGATAAAGCAGAGCATCTCTAGAATGGGGGCTCCAGGCACAGTGGAGTATGAGGCTGCCACTCACTAAAGTGGAGGATTGAGTGACCTGACACCACCTGAGGCCAGTGCTGCGACTCCTCAGCTGCTCCCCCAACTCACATGCCCCCACGCCTTTATTCTGGGGAATCTGATAAGCCCCAAAAGAAAGAACCTGTAATCCTGGCACTCTGAGAGGCCAAGGCAGGAGGATCCCTTGAGCTCAGGAGAGCAAGAGCAAGACCCTGTCTTTACTAAAAACAGAAAAATGAGCCAGGCATGCTGGTAGGAGCCTGTAGTCCCAGCTACTCTGGAGACTGAGGCAGGAGTCTGAGGTTGCTGTGAGTTAGGCTGATGCCATAGTATTCACTCTACCCAGGGTGACAGAGAGAGTCTCTGTCTCAAAGGAAAAAAAAAAAAAAAAAGGACCTAAAGGTATGAAGATCTCTGTCACCTCCCTCTGTCACCTAGGCTATAATGCGGTTGTGTCACCAAAGTTCATAGCAACATCACAGCACTGTGCTTAAGCAATTCTCCAGTCTCAGCTAGGACTATAGACACACATCATGATGCCTGGCTAAGTTTTCTATTTTTTGTAGAAAGAGGGTCTCACTCTTACTTAGGCCATTTTAAAACTCCTGACATCAAGCAATCCTCCCACCTCAGTTTTTAACTCATGTCTAAAAAAAAAATTTTTTTTTTTGCAGTTTTTGGCCAGGGCTGGGTTTGAACCCACCACCTCTGGCATATGGGGCCAGCACCCTACTCCTTTGAGCCACAGGCGCCGCCCATGTTTAAAATTTTTTAAACTAGAAAGTGACATTAGAAATATGGAGGTAAGTACCAGAAAATCAGATCAAAGACACTGTTAAAAGGATAAAACCACAACCTGGGCGTTGACATTTGCAGCAGATATGAAAAGGAATTATTAATAGAATCCACATTCACACATCTATGTATAAGTAGATGAAGAGTTCTTATCAGCCTTTTGGCTAAGATCAAGTGAAGATTTCTTACAAATAAAATTTGAATAAAAAGATTCTAATACAAAAATAGCCCAAGGATATGAATAGATAGTTCATGGAGAGGGATGTTGGATGGTCCAAAACACATGGAGAGATGTTCCCTCTCCTTGGTAGTCAAGGAATGCAAATTAAAACTAGGATGAGATAATGTATATCCACCAGTTTGGCAGAAATTAAAGACACCTACAGGTACCAAGGATTGGCAACCACATAGGGCACTGGCAACTGTCATCTGCTCTGGTGAAATTATTTTTTGTTGTTGTTGGTTTTTTTTTCTGGTGAAATTCTTACCCATGCAAAAAGAATCTGTATGTGTGTATTTGCTGCAGCACTGCGTGTAATAACCAAAAACTCTTGTTTGTGGGAAAGCTTAATATAATGGTGGTATATTCAACATGGAATTGTAGAAATATATAGCAACATGATCTAATTCTGCATGTACTGGCATGGAAAAGCCCCAAACATAGTGATGCATTTTGAAAGCTTATACTATACGAATATGTTCAGTCTAAAACCATGGATATAAACTATTTTGACACATTAACTGCTGTGTTGTATTTAACTTATGCTAGTTTTGAGCCTGGGGCCCCATGAAGTGTATATAACTCACACATCCCTTGACTACTGTATAACTCACACATCTCTTGACTACTATGCTAGAAATTTTTTTTCCCCCTTGGGGCCAGTATTAAGTCAAAAGTTGTCTGAGTTATATGCCTCCCAAGGCCCTGGGCTCAAAACTAGCATGAGTTAAATACAACTCATAATGCAGTTAATGTGCTTAACCTAGTGAAACCCCAAGGCCCCCAGGAAAAAGCAGTTTTTTCCTCGTGTGGCAGTCATTGTGAATACAGAGAGATAAAACATAAGCGAATATAGACAGGGAAGGAGTATACTCACTTAAGAGTAATAGTTACTTCTGGTCTTACATCTGTTGATTTGTAAAAACTTTTTATTTGAATTTCAGTTAACATGATACTATGCAAAGGGAGGATGGTGTGTATGAAATTTGGGTCAAAACAAAACATCTGTGAAATAATGTATTCTCGTAACTTTCTGCTCATTCAGACCTTCTGTCATTTGCTTGTTATTAATCAATTTTTAGGTGATTTTCTATTAGATAAATAACTGTATGTCCTGTACTAATTAACCCTTTCTAATCCTGTGTCAGACAAAAACACTTTAATTATTTTATATAACCTCAAATAGATAAAATTATCAGATGAGTTCAAATTTGTTTTTCTCAAAACTGTAGGATAATTACAAGTAATCCACCAACCTCTTTCCCCCCCAAAATAAGTAAGAGCCGGGGAGTATGCAGGTGGCAGAAAGATTGGATTGGAAAGTTAGGTTAAGTTTTCATGACCTAGGAGTGACGGTTTTACTCACTACTGAGCTTTTGCTGTGTTTGAAGATGCTCATTTGTCAGCAAGTTTTTCCAGGGCTCTCTATTTTCTCCACATCTCTCTCATGTGTTCCCACCTGTCCACTCTTGCCCCAGGCACACACGCTGTATCCTCAGCACTATTTTTGAGAATTGATCATTTCAGAAATGAAACAAACTGGAACAGGTTGCCTGTGGGACGCTGTGGAGACCAACCAGCTTGTAGACACTGACTTGGGAAAGTGTCCCCGGGTAGGACAATACAGGTGAAATGTCTTTGACAGTATTCAGTATGATTTTCCCCCCTCTGATTATAGGAAGATGCTGAAACTCTGTGGAGAGACAGAGGACAAGCTGGCCCAGGAGCTGATACATTTTGAATTGCAAGTAGAGAGGGATGTGATTGAGCCCCTGTTTCTGCTGGCGGAGGTGAGCAGTGGGAGCTGGCAGGCCTGCGGGAACTAGCCTCTGAACGGGAGCCTGCCCTGCCGCGGGACTGGGCGCCTCTGGGGTTGGTGGTTCTTGCCGCAGGAATGGGCGCCTCTGGGGTTGGTGGTTCTTGCCGCAGGAATGGGCGCCTCTGGGGTTGGTGGTTCTTGCCGCGGGACTGGGCGCCTCTGGGGTTGGTGGTTCTTGCAGTCTCGTCACTTGCTGTTTGCCACCCCAGTAAGTTACCCAGACCATCCCTGAGGACATCCGTGAGGGCTGAGGGGTACAGTGGGCAGCTGAGCTCCTTTCCTACCAGAGTGGTGAATGCTGGAACCCCCCATCTCAAGTGTAGAAGAATGTTCCCAGCAGGGGTCTGGGACCCCTGGTCCAAGAGACTCTGTGAGGTGCCCTGTAATTTGTATCTACATATATCCCCTTTCTTTGCACTTTCAAAGTCACTAAATTAAACTACCTTATTAAAAATCAACTTTAATTTCTGTGTTTTGCTAGCTTCAACCAAAGGAGCCAGGAGATGGTTGGGGAGCTTTATGTCTTGAACCCTGGACCCCTCCCAGTCGCCTTTCATGGCTCATACAGATTGAGCATCTGAAATCTGAAAAACTCCAAACCGAAATCCTCTTACACCTGAATTGTTTGGGGCACCAAAAGGACACCCCAAAGAAATGCTCATTGGAGCGTATCAAATTTTCCATTGGGCTATTACATATAATGCAGATATCAATAAAAATCTAAAAAATAAATCTGAAATCCAAAATACTTTTGGTCCCAAGCATTGCAGATAAGACATACTCAGGGCTTTATAAAACCTACCCAGTGCTATCCCCTAGATTTCTGTATTAGGGTTCTCTAGGGAGACAGAATCCATAGGATACGTGAAAGAGATTTATTACGGGAAATTGACTCATTTGGTCACAGAGGTGGAGAAGTCCCACAACAGGCTGCCTGCAAACTAGAGAACCAAAGAAGCAGGTAGAAGCTCCATGAGGAACCCACAGGAGTACAAAAGCCCCCTGTCTGAGGCTGAAAGCCATGGAGCCCCCAGGAGGCTGCTGGTACAAGTCGCAGAGTCCCAAGGCCCAAGAACCTGGAATCTGATGTCCAAGGGCAATAAGAAAAAGTTTCCCACTGCAGGAGGAAGACAGAGCACAGAGAGAAGCTCCCTTCCTGTGGCTGTTTGTCTTACCTGGGACCCCAGGGGACTTGGATGGTGCCCACCCCATTGAGGGCAGGTCTCCCTATCAGTACACTGACTTACACATTGGTCTTCTCTGCAGACTCCCTTGTAGACATGCTCAGAAACAGTGCCTCACTGGCCATCTAACCCAGCCCTCATTCCAGTTAATTCAACAACTAAAATTAACCATCACCAACACCCTACACTGGTAGATGTGTTCAGTATCTGCACAGTTTGAGAGCCACTTGTCCATACCTGGCTGATGAGCCCTTGTGGTGTGGTTAGTGCAGCTCAGAAACTTGGGTTTTTATAATTTGATTTAGGGCGGCGCCTGTGGCTCAATGGGTAGGGTGCTGGCCCCATAAAGTGAGGATCCGGCCCTGGCCAAACTGCAACAAAAAATAGCCGGGCATTGTGGCGGGCACCTGTAGTCCCAGCTACTTGGGAGGCTGAGGCAAGAGAATCACCAAAGCCCAGGAGTTGGAGGTTGCTGTGAGCTGTGATGCTACGGCACTCTACCGAGGGCAATAAAGTGAGACTCTGTCTCTAAAAAATAAAAAATAATTAATTTAATTTTTGGTTCATTTAAATTTAGAAATCCATAGCTGCATGTGGCTAGAAGCTACTGTATTAAACAGCATTGTCCTGGAACCTGTCTGCTTTCCTTCCTGGGCCACTCTAGCATCTCTGCATCCCCAGGGCTCTTTCTGGGACAGATGTACGTATTTGCTCATGGACCTTAAAGTAGTCTAGGAGAGCCTGACAGGTCTCCTCTCACCTGGAGCATTCATGAGAGGCCATCTGCTTCTCACAAGGGTGCTCGGGGCTCCAGCCAAGGCCCAAAGCAAGCCGAGAGCAGGTCCGATGTGGGTGCCAACATTTGAGACATCCACATAGCTCTCTGCTTTGCTGCAGGTCCTGGTGGGGACGCAGGTTCTCCAGGGACAGTCACACTTCTTCTTATCCAAAGTTGTTACACTCGGTACATGACTCATCCCTGCTTGGGAGAGAGAATAGAGAGCACTTCAAAGAACATCGGATTCTCCTCGCAATTTTCCTTGTATGAAAACCGCAGCCTGAGATAATTTTTAGTTCAATTTTCGGCCAGTTTTCATTTTTTGTTCTCACATCCTGCCATCCTGCCATCCTGCCCTACTTTTGCTGGGCCCAGAACCAAAATCTTGCACTGGAATGTTCAGGGAAGTCATTTTTAGAATGAAAAATATAAAAAGCGCATCCACATACAACCAAACTGGAAGACGTGTAGCTGGGAAAGCCGTGATGGCAACTTTTATTCATCGTGGGCTTTGGGAAGATCGGACTTTATTTCTATAAATGCAAACATTTGCTTCCTTTGTCTCTATAAATATAAAACCAGTGTCCTAGTTGCTGTCCTCATCGCATCTCAGAGCTCTTCTTCCCACGTGTCAGACCCGAGTGGGTGCCCCCCTTCACTGCTACCCATTTTTGGCACCTTTAGAAGTAGAGAGAGATGTAATTGAGCCCTGGTTTTTGCTGCCTAAGGTAAGGGCAGGGAAGTGGCAGGCCCCATGTGAGCAGGAAAGTGCAGAAGATGGTCTGGGGTGTCCAGGGCTTGGCCTGTGTCTAGCAGGGAGAGAGCAGAGTTTAGCTCAGAAGAAGGCATCAAGAATTTCATTTGATGTTGGTCAAGGGGTACAAGGTCTTAGTTACACAAGATGAGTAAATTCTAGAGATGTGATAGTTCAAGTATACTTGAAATTTGCTAAGAAGGTAGACCTTAAATGTTCTTATTACCAAGAAAAGTAAATTATGAGGAGTGAGGAATATGTTAATCCAGCTTGATTATAGAAATCATTTCACAGTGTATACAGATCAAAACCTCAAGCTGTACACCTAAAATATATATAATCTCTATCAGTTATGCTTCGGTGAAGCAGAGGGGAAGGTCTGTCATCTGAAAATAAGGGCTGGGAGATCTCCAGTGAATCTGACCAGTGACTGCCAGGGGTACTTTTTTTTTATTTTTCATGTGTTCGGGTTTTATTTTAAGTTTAGGTCATTACTACTATTTGGTATATTTGATAACTTCAATTACTATTCAATAACTTCAGCACTGCACTAATATATATTAAGAGTTACTGAAAGTATTTTTCTACCAGACAGTGATTTAGACAGGAGTAGGGAGGAAGGGTTCCTTAAATATAAAAATATTACCACATAAATAGTCAATCAGATTGCCCCAGCATGTAGGTTACTTCTAGAAGTAAGCTATGACTACCAGTAGTTCTGAAAGGACTGTTGTAAAGAATAGTTCTTAAAGAATCTATCTTGAGCTTCAGTCTCTGTCTTTCATCTCCTGTAACCACAGGTGGAAATCCCCAACATTCAAAAGCAGAGGAAACACTTAGCCAAGTTGGTGCTGGACATGGACTCTTCCCGAACCAGGTAGAGTTGCTTTGCTTCCTTTTTTGCTTCTTTGAAGGACCAGTGATCGTATGTGGGGGGAGGGTTGACATGTGAGTGTGTTTTCGTTGTCCAAGTTTTTTCTTAACATTTCCTACGTGCCAGGTGCTGGAAGTAGTAAGTGGTGAACTGGAGATGCCTGGTCCCCGCTCTTGTGTAAACTTTGGTTAAGTTTTGGAGAGGGACACTAGGCAAGTGAGGACGTGAGACAATTTCAGGCAGTCATCTATCATATAAAGAAAATAATACAGGGTAATTTTGGAAGGGGATGGTGGAGAAAGGGAGCAGTTACATTAGTAAGGTAAAGCAGAGAAGCCTTCTTTGAGGTGCTATCACTTGGTCTGAGACTTAAATGATAACAAGGAGGCCGCCCTGCAAAGATCTGGTGCAAATTATCTATCGGTAGCAGAGGGAACAGCACATTCAAAGGTCCTGAGCGGGGAATAAGCTTGACATCATTGAGGTACAGAAAGAAAGCCAGCGTGGCTGGGGAGGAATGGACAATGGGGAGAGAGATAGCAAGTGAGATCCAAGAGGTGGGATGGATGTGATGTCCTGTCCTGAGGGGGAAATTTCTAATGCTGAGGATATGCGTACTTCTCCTTGTTCCTACACCCATTTCCCAGAGTTCACTAGAAAATTCCTATTGTAGCAGGAGAGTACCAATGGCCCTGAGACGGCATCATCTGTGACTGTTATGTGGGGACTATGCGTATGTGTCTGTTTTTTACAATGAGGGGTGTGTAAGTTGAAAAGAAGTGGGGGCCTGAGTATTAGAATGGAAGAACCTACTGGGTTCTACTGTTGGGTTTTTTTGTAGGTCACTTGTAATCGTCCTCATGTCTTCTTTTAATTTTCTTAAAGAAACAAAACCAGGGAATGCTTGAGCAGAGAGCTGTGGGATAGAGAGGTTTGCAAGATACCAAGATTCAGAGCAGTTATTTTCTAGACGTGTGGCCTTGGTCGAGCCACTTAATTTCCAAGAGTGTCATTTTCCTCACTTGCACACAGGTGGTAACAACATCTGGGGGTTAACCGGAGGAGGTGGTTCTGAGTATTAATTTGATACCATACGTCCCATTACTCCCTAAGTGCTTTATGAAAAGAAGCTGACATGGTATCTAGTTAGTGTACCCACGAGCTAGTGCAGGGCAGCCCCCCCGGACCAGAAACAAGAAAGGTTGAATCAGCAAAGAAACAAGGGTCTCCTCGGTTACCTTGCTGTTCCTCAGACTCCCAATCTACCTGGATGATTTTCGCCATCTATATCCTTTAAAAGGATAGATCCTTCGTATCTATATATCCTTTAAAATAGTCGATTATTTTTTCAAAAGAAATCTGTTTTCAAAAGAAATCTTATGGTACTGTCATAAATTGGGAAGCAGTGGTGCCCTTTGCTGCAAGATCAGGTAAGCATAAAAGTAAACAGATGAAAGCAGAGCTGGTGTTATTAAATTTTAGATCCTGTTTACTGTGGAATGCTGTCGTCCTAAAGCTTATCTCCTTTTGTTCAAAAGGAAGAGGAGGAGGCATTGGAGAGGTGTTAAAATTATTCTGACGCAGGTCTGACGCTATCTCCTTAGAGTGCTTAGAGGAAGGAAAGAACAGGATGGGTGGGGAGTATTGATTATGCTATTAATTCTATGACCTTGCAGCACATAAATTTGTGTTCCATAATACAAATGTTCAAGTTTGAGGAGTCTTTGAAGGTGATTGAAGAAAAGCTGACCACTGTCCACTCTTGGGGTGAGATGGACGCTGTTCTCCTTGAGTTTGTGGAGTGATTTTGTTCTATGAAACCTGGGTCTTAGCTCTGAGGTCTCTGCTTCTCTGAAGAAAACCTAGATCTCCACCACAGAGCTTCTGGTCAGAAGGCTAAATGCTAGGCTCAAAGCATGTCATTACCGTACATACTTTTGTTGTGTTGTGCTACGAGAAGGACAGTTATCCTTGGTCACAACCATAGTCCATTTTGTCCAGTGCTAACACCAAGTGGAGAGTAGGGTCTGGAAACTCAAGGAGTGTCATTAGGGACCTTGCACGCAGGGTTTAATGGACATTTTTGTATCTCCAGTTTATCATCTCTTGTATACTACGATCTGGTAAGGAAATCTCTACCTCTCCTATCCAGATTTCTGTGCTTATGAACTTCAGCTTGGCTCCTTTAACAATCTTTACTGTTTGGGACTAAAAAAGGTCCTTTTAGGTTATTTCCATATAAACCTGCTCCATCTCCTTTTTCACATCAGTGGTTTTTTGTGCAGTTGTGAGTTCAGGGGCAGGGGATTGCTTTGGATAGATAGTTGGCAGGATGCTCCCCTCACAATTGCCTTCCCTTTGGGTCTCTGTGTTAGCCCAGGGTGGAGGATCTAACTCAAGGCCTCCGGTTAGGGATTCTCTATCAGCAGAGGTTACAGGCCATGGGATGAAAGAGCTATTCTTAGCCCAGGTGTGCTCTTTCTTTGCACTTGACTCTCAAACCAGCTATTTCTAGCCTGAGTTTCTCTGTCTTGTTGGACCTTGCTGGAAACCACCTGAAGAAGCTAACCCACCCCACCTTCCTTCCATTTCCCCTAACTCCTCACTGTTAATCAACATGAGACTGTACCCCGATACAGCAGTGCTGTCAGACAGAGGGGATCACAGCGGCCCCTCTGCCCCTCACCCGTACCGTTCTCCGTGAAGCTGCTTGCATATGTTAGGCTCCCTTCTGGCAGCATCTCAGTCCTGACTACCAAAGCCGTCCTTCCTCTGCCCTTCGGGACCTACACTCCACAGAACGAAACACCGTACTCCAGTTCTGTCTTTTAAGACAGGCAGGATCTTCATATGATGTCAGCTCATCTTAACCAATAGGTCCATGACTGGACCTTTGAATTCTACTACAACTCTGGTAGGAACTGTTAGGTACAACTAATTTATCCCATGTTTAATTAGGTCCCAAACAAATGTATGTATTTCTCAACTATTCAAGTAAATCTGGCTTGTCTCTTTGCGAAGCTGATGATATAGAACTTAATATTCTTAGAAAAAATTGTGTTCAGTAGATGAATAAAAAGAGCCAGGTTGCAGTGTCTTATGCCTATAATCCTTGCATTCTGGGAGGCCGAGGTGGGTGGATCACCTGCACTGGGGAGTTCAAGACCAGCCTGAGCAAGAGTGAGATTCCTTTTCTACTAAAAATAGAAAAACTAGGGTGGCTCCTGTGGCTCAAAGGAGTAGGCCGCTGGCCTACTGGAGGTGGTGGGTTCAAACCCAGCCCCGGGCCAAAAACTGTAAAAAAAAAAAAAAAGAAAAGAAAAGAAAAACTAGCCAGGCATTGTGGCAGGTGCCTGTAGTACCATCTACTTGGGAGGCTGAGGCAAGAGGATCACTTGAGCCCAACTGTTTGAGGTTGCTATGAGCTATGGTACTATAGCACTGTACTAAGGGTGACAGAATACAACTCAGTCTCAAAAAAAAAAAAAAAAGATGATGAATAAAAAAGGAAGCTCTAGCCATGTGTGGTGCTAACACCTGTCATCCTAACACTTTGGGGGGACAGAGTTTGATACCAGCATGAGCAAGAGTGAGACCTGGTCTCTACAAAAATTAGAAAAACTAACCAGGGGTTGTGGCAGGTGCCACAGTAGCTGAGTAGACCCAGCTACTCAGGAGGCTGAGGCAAGAGGATTGCTTGAGGTTGCTGTGAGCTGTGACGACATCTTTGCATTCTAGCTCAGGTGACAGAAGGAGACCCTGTCTCAGGAAAAACAAGAAGAAAGTTCTATACTTAATTGAAGATTGTGAATTGAATAGCATTGAACGCAAATGACACATACGCACCTTTTGTGTGATGGGGTTGTTTTGGCAGTGATTAAAGAAGAAGCCCCATTCCTTCCCAAAGTCAGCCTCACCTTTCCCTGGACATATGTCAAGGTTAACCTTTCTGAGTCCAGAATGCATTCCGGTTCTGCTGAGTAGCTTCCTATGGAGTGAATTGTGCCCGCCCCCCCCACATTCATATGTTGAAGCCAGCCAGCACTGTGTCTGTATCTGGAGACTGGAGACGGGGTCTGTAGGAGGCAATTATAGTTACATGAACATGAGGTCATAGGAGCCGGCCTGCATTTTACTAGGACTGGTGGCCTTATAGGAAGAGAGAGAGACCTGTCTCTCACACACACAGACAGAAAGCTGTGTAAGAGCACAGCCAGGGCCATCTGTAAGCCAGGAGGAGAGCTTGCTGGCACTTTGATCTTGGGCTTCCAGAACTGTTAGAAACAAAGCTTCTGTCCTCGAACTGCCCAGTCTGTGGTGCTTTGCTGTGGGAGCCCGATCAGACTAATACACCTGCCTTTGGAAGCAGGTGGCAGCCAGGAGAGTGTGGGGAAGGAAATGGGGCAGCTTCTGCTGGGGTTCCGAAGAGGTAGATAACTAGAAGGGGAGCTTGGGGGCGCAGCATGAGGGAGCCTCTGGGACTGGAAGCAGCGTCTGCACGCCATCGGGAGTCATTCCTCATCTCGCCCCTCCGCTGTCACGCTCACTGATGTCCCCGGCACATGTCTCCCCACTGTGAGCCCGCGTCCTTTCCCTCCAATTCCAGGAGTGCATGGGTGGGGACTGCATTTGTCTCACCTTTGCTCTCGGGCCCCCTTCCATGACCCGTTGGTTAGCTGAGGTGATAAAGTATAGGCGCGATTGTCACGATTGTGGCTTCCCTCAGGTCCCTGGCCTGGACCTCTCTCCTGCTGTCCCTCTTGCTGTCAGGGTCATGCCAGAACCAGCAGCTCCCTCTGGACCACACCTCAGTGCACCTCAGTGCAGAGTGGGGGCAGGAACTCAGAAGTAAAGGGTGTCAGAGACTAGGGAAAGGAAGACACGGGTCAGAGGAAACAGGGAGTGTCCCACTGAAGAAACTTCCCCATTTATTTCCAAAATCCTTCTTCTGAATTTCCTGTTGTCTTGAACCTGCCATGCGTTTGCCGTCTTTACCCATCCCCTGGTCCCTGAAATTCCAAACCCTTGCTCCTCACGCTTTCCTCTCACCTAGCGTTCATTAAAGCTCAGGTCCTGTCTTCGTCTCCCCCAGGTCAGAGGGTCACAGCCTTTCCTCAGAGACTGAGGCTGGCACATGAGCTACCTCAGTGGGAAGAAATTATTTTTCTGCTCTTCAGTTTTCAAACCTCAAATTATTCTTAGACAATGCTGGCTCCCTGTCTCCTCTGACAGAACAGTCCAACTCATGTTTATTTGCAGAACAGGTGTCTGAAAGACTGCCATATTTTTCTTTCTTTTTTTTGCAGTTGTTGTCGTTGTTTTAGCTGGCCCAGGCCGGGTTCGAACCCACCAGCCTGTGGGGGTATGTGGCTGGTGCCCTACCCACTTAGTGATGGATGCCACTGCCATATTTTTCAATTCATGATGCATGTCAGTTTTTTCCAACAGTTACTTACCTTTACAAATTTTTCCAAGTTTTTTTTTTTTTTTTTTGTGGTGTTTGATTATTTGAATTCAACAAAGGGAATATTTTGGCCAGGCACAGTGGCTCATATCTGTAATCTTAGCACTTGGGGAGGCTGAGACAGGAGGATTGCTTGAGGTCATGAGTTTGAGACCAGCCTGAGCAAGAGTGAGACCCCCCCATCTCTACTAAAAATAGAAAATAATTAGCTGGGTTTTCTGGGGGCTGCCTGTAGTCCCAGCTACTTTGGAGGCTGAGGCAGGAGGATCACTTGAGCCCAAGATTTTAAGGTTGCTGTGATCTGTGGTGACGCCACTATACTCTGGCCTGGGTGACAGTGCAAGATCCTTTTTCATAAAAATAAAAAAGGAAGGGGGAATATTTGGGGGGTATCTTATCACTCTTTTATAATATCAAAATAGATTATTTATATACATGTATTGCAAATAAAATTTCCTTTTGGGAGAGGAAAAACATGTTTTTAAAGTATCAAAATACTGACTAAGGAACAGAATTTGGGGGAAATAGAGGAGAATAGAGAAGAAAAGAAGGAAATAATTGGTAAAATATCTAATAACTTTTGAAAAGATCTAATCTTTATTTATAAAGCCATAAATGTGGTTAGTGTTTGTGGTCCCTTTATATACACTTTACTTTCAACACTTCCACACTGTTGTCTGTCCTTCGGGTAGCATGAGTCAGATGGTGATTATAACTTTATTTCTTAATCTAACCATAGAGATATATTTATTGTCTGAGACATAAATTACAGCTATAGCATCTCATATTTTATTTGTCAGAAAACCCCCAGTACTTTAAAATTTTAAAACTTTAGAATGGTTAAACTGGGGAGTTACTAATCAAATATATTACTCAGGAATTATTATTAATTCTTATCTGTTAATTTATTTCAACTTAGATTTTATAACATCTTTCAGTAGAATATTTCCTTTCTAATTCACCCTGAATTCTTATCTTGGAATCAGGAATCTTTTCCAGGATATGTGTTCATTTCTGGTGCTTAAGCCAGCTTGATGTCCCAAAACCTTTTTTAAGTAATTTTCCTGTGGTTGCAGTCTTTAAGTGACAGAGAATCCTTATTTTTCTACTTTTTGCAGTTAGCAAAGAGACATTTAGTTTTCCTTCCTAACGTTATAGAGCCTTGCACTCTTCTGTTCTTCCTGCAGGTAACAAAAGAGAAAAGAAAAATAGAGAAAATACTTAATGATCAGATTGCTAGCTCTCAAGATGACGGTGACATTCTACTTTCTTTTTTTTTTTTTATTAAATCATAACTATATACATTGAAGGATTTATGGGGTACAATGTGCTGATTTTATATACATTTTGAAATGTTTACATCAAACTGGTCAACATAGCCTTCACCTCACTTACTTAATTATTGTGTTAAGACATTCATACTCTGAGCTTTGCCTGTGGCTCAGTGAGTGGGGCGCGAGCCCCATATCCCGAGGGTGGTAGGTTTAAACCCAGCCCTGGCCAAACTGCAACAACAACAACAAAGAGACATTTATACTCTACACTTCATAGATTTGACATGTACCCTTGCAATGTGCACCATAGGTGTGGTTCCATCATTTATCCTCCCTCCATCCCCCCTCCCCTCCCTTTTCCCTCCTCTTTCCTCCTTCATCTTGGGCTATAGTTGTGTTTTCTCTTACATATAAAAGTACATGATTATAAATTGGTTTCATAATAGTACTGAGTACATTGAATACTTTTTCTTCCATTCTTGAGATACTTTACTAAGAAGAATATATTCCAGTTCCATGCATGTGAACACAAAAAGAGGTAAAGTCCCCATCTTTTTAAAGGCTGCATAATATTCCCTGGTGTACATAGACCACAATTGATTAATCTGTTCATGGGTCGATGGGCACTTCTGCCCCTACATTGGAGGCCACAGACTGATGGTCTGCGAGCCCGAGAGCCTGAAGAGCTGCGTCATTTGATCTGCACACTATTGGCCTGCATGGTGTTTGTAAGAAATTAAATCAAAATCTGTTGCCACATTTCATCAGGAGAGTTCCTGTGAAAATTTCCAGCTTCTCTTGTCAATTGAGACATCTGGCCACCCACCCTCCTGCCTACCCTGGTCCCATGGGTCCTAGAGAGGGCAGCATGCCTCCCCCTCAACCTCCTCCTGCCCACCTGTCCCTCCTGTCTCCTCCCTTCTGCCTCCTCCCTCCCGACTTCCAACTATTGTTTCTGTTAAAGCCAAGAAATAGTTTTATATCTCATGTCTCTGTTATAAATAGGAAATAAAGCATCAAGGGGACTGCTGTTTGAGATAATGGCTCATTTGACTTATTTTTCTTGCTTGCTGGCCTCTATAATCTGTTCACTAGAAAAGGAACCCTCTGCCAAGCCCCAGTCCAGCTACTACCGTCTAGTGTAATTGGATCACTCTTTCCAAGCCTGTTTTTGGGAATTCCCTGATGAGGACATAGCAACCAGAAATATTTGTATCTCCCTTTGAGAAGTTCTGTGAGTGGCCTCATTGAAGGCTGGCATTCTCCCTACAAAGAGAGATATTTACCAGAATTTAAGCGAGGTGTCTGAATGTTGATACGAAGTTGTTTTGTGCTTACCAGTGGAGAATTTTGCTTTCATACTTCTTGTTTGTAATCTTCCTTGCATATCTCCTCACTTAGCATACATGATTTCTCAGCCAGCTAGGGAATGTTTCCAAACTCAGATGCCCACAGGACAGGGAGGGAACTTAAAACCCAGGGCAGAGACTGTGCTTAAAAGGCAAAGATACTGATTTGGTCAATACAGTATTGGTCACATTGATTAAGTTTCAGATGTCTTGCCATAAAAAATGATGAGTAAACGAGGTGATTAGTTTGATTTAATCTTTCCACATTGTCTGCATATATCAAAACATCAATCACAGTGTGCCCCACAAATATATATAATTATGATTTGTCAATTAAAAATAATGTTGTAAAAAAAGACAGCAATAGTGATTGTTATTTGGCTTTGTGTTTTGAGGAAAATAGGGAAAACAGTGGTGACTTGGAGGGTGGGCCCCCTTTCTCCAGGGCTTGGTACCTTCCATCACCTCTCCATTCCAGGGAGGGTGTGTAGTTCCCTGGGTAATTGTTTTCTCAGCATTCCCACGATATCCCCAGGGCTCTATCTGTCTCACATCTCTCCTCTTTTTCTTCTATTTTTTATCAGGTGGCAGCAGACTTCCAAGTCTTCAGGTTTGTCCAGCAGCTTACAGCCTGCGGGTGCCAAAGCTGATGCCCTCAGGGAAGAAATGGAGGAGGCTGCCAACAGAGTGGAGATTTGCAGGGTACCTGCCCTCTTTGCTCCTCTCCACTGGGACAGACTGGGGAGCCCTCAGGGATTTCCTTTCTGTTCACTGGAGTTCTCCTTAAACTCTTATTACTGAGTCTCTAGTTGAACTAAATGTCCCCACACTTATGTGCTAGCATCTCCGAGGACAGTGCAAGATGAACCCAAAGAGAAGAGGCTCTGAGGGCGACCTAGCCAGGAAGGCAGCATTAGACTCTCACTGGTGCTCCTGCATGGTAGGCAAAGGGAGGATGACCTTTGTTTCTATGTGAAGCTTTTGTAAATTATCTGCGTGCCAAAGAAAAAATTCTAGGCCAGGCTGGCCAGTTGAGAATTTAGAGCATGGATAAACCCTGACTCACTATTGAGATTAAATTTTTCCTTTTCTGAAGTTTGCCTTTTGATATTTCCTGAGTCACTTTATCAGTCCCACGCTTCCTGCAAGACATTTATCTAGAAAGTTGAAATGCTAGCTGTGGAGATAGTCACAGAAAAGAAAACTTCCCTTTTATTAAGAGACAGTGCATCATTCTCAAAACCGTGTCTCTGTACTTGTGGAATGATATCTTTGGGTATGCTCATTTAAATGTACTTTCCTGACAAAAGTTCTATGGGATTTAATTAGCAATATACCATCCATGGTGCTCTGTGTATATGTACATCTGTTTAAGTGCATATATGTCAGTTTGGGTTTCCAAGGAAACCAGAACTATATTTAGACCCATCAAACAAAAGTACCATGTTTTTGTAACTATTCTAGAAATCTCTTGTTTTAATCACATACTGTTTTAAAGGAGGAAGGCCACTTCACCTGTGGACATCTCTGTTCTCATACCTGTCAAATCCTGTTAACCTGTCCTTTGGCTTATTTTTTTATAGCTGCCGCATGAAGGTGGCTTTGACCTTGCATTCAGGTGACATTCAGAAGCAGGTAGCATTTCCCTCTGGAATTAGAAACATCAAAAGATTTCTTAAAGAATTCCTTATCTCTCAGCCTACAGTACTAGGGAACCAAGCAAAGTAAGACCAATACCTCAGATCCCAGATTCTTTGTAAGGAAAGCTGATTTGTCACTGGATCGTCTGCGTAAATGCAGATATCTGGCTGGGCTGCTATTCCGGAAGTCTTCTCTCCTGTTGATTTCACTGTTGCTGTGTGTGTTCTTAAACCGTCTTCCATAGATCTATGTTCTTTAGTTAAGAATCTTTTAAAAATTCTTTTTCCAATAGACAAGAGAGGATGGTGTTAAAGGGGATGCTGAAGATGAACGTCCCAAGAGTTTGAGGTTGCCGTGAGCTGTGTCACCATAGCACTCTATTGAGGAGTGACATAATGAGACTCTGTCTCAAAAAAAAAAAAAAAAAACAGCCAGATATGTCAGGGCAAAATCTCAATAGCTTCACGTGTCTTTATGCAGCTTCTTCCATCTGCTAACATGCCAAAAAACATGTTCATTTCCTCCTCAGAGGTTACAAAAGTCACATATGTTCACCATATTCAGTTAAAAAATACAAAAATCTGTTAAGAAAAACTCCAATATCCCACCCCTTTTCCCCTAGCAATCTCTGTGTGTCTAAACAAGGTGACCAAGTCCCTTTATTAAGATGTTGTTGTGGCTGGGCAGTGTCTCACACCTGTAGATTCCCTGAGCTCAGGAGTTCAAGACCAACTAGAGCAAAAGTGAGGCCCCATCTCTAAAACATAGCCAAGCACTGTGGCTGGTAGTCCCAGCTACTTGTGAGGCTGAGGTAGGAAGCTCTCTTGAGCCCAAGAGTTTGAGGTTGTTGTGAGCTATGATGCCACAGCATTCTACCCAGGGTGACATAGTGAGACTTTGTCTCAAAAAAAATAAAAAGATGGTGTTGTGACAGTGCCCCATCACATGCTAAATTATAAGAATAAGGAAACCGTCTTAGAGCCTGTCATGTACCCTCCATACCATTCTTCATCATCATACAGATGCCGGCCGTCCCCAGGCTACAATGAGATAGGTTCTGTAGGTTCATTTCTTAAGGTGAATTTGTACGTAAATTAGAACAGGTACATTTACCTGTTATCTATAATAGCCTCTGTTCATAAGTGGGAGTTGTACATCAGTGGGGTGTTTGTAAGTCAGGGACTTACTGCAATAGCTTCCATTCATAAATACAAGTCATACGTAAGGTGGTGTTTATAACTCAGGGACTGCCTGCATATATACGTATATACATTATGGCTTATTTAGTTATTTTCTTATTGAGAGGTATTCAGATTGGTCTGTTTCTGTTTTACTTTTTACTATCCCCAAAATGATAAGATATACATCCTTATATGTTTACTCTTAAACCCTGCTAAATTTTTTCTATAGGATTGAGTCCCCAAAATGATATTTTTAGGTCAAAATCCATGCATACATTTTTAACTTTAATAGATATTGATAGTTTATTTCTCTGAAAAGGGAATTATAATTCACATTCCTACCAACAATATATAAAATATGTAAGTTTTCCTTCATCTTTACCTGAAATGCACTTTGTTACCGTTTTCAGTTTTTACTGGTCTAATGAGGAGAGAAAGCTATCTCTGTGTTATTACAACCTTAATTTCTCTGAATGTTGTGGATGATGAGTATATTTTAATGTATTTATTGGACATTGTTCATATACTGGGGGTGTCAAAAAATGTATGCACATTTTAAGAGATATTATAGGAAGTAAGATTGATCTTTCTCCCAAAGTGTATGAATTGCAGGTTAAATGGATGTGTGTAGCACAGTACAGCAACAGTGGCTTCAACTCAGCCTTGAGAAGGAAGACCTAGACAACACTGGTTGAAATGTGTATACATGGGCTCAGTGTCCATACCTCAGTGAGTAGGGCGCCGGCCACATACACCAGGGCTGGCAGGTTTGAACCTGGCCTGGGTCTGCTAAACAACAATGACAACTACAACAAAAAAATAGCCAGGCATTATGGTGAATACCTGTAGTCCCAGGTGCTTGGGAGGCTGAGGCAAGAGAATCGCTTAAGCCCGAGAGTTTGAGGTTGCTATGTTGCTATGAGCTGTGACGCCATGGCACTCTACCAAGAGTGACATAGTGAGACTCTGTCTCAAAACAAGGAAAAAAAATGTGTATACGTTTTTTGGGCACCCTCTGTATTTATATGCATTTTCAGTTTGATGAATTCCTATTCATATTGGCTTTTGGACCAATATTTCTGTTGCTTTTTAAATATTAAGTTATAAACATTCTCTGTATATTAGGGATATTAAACTTTTTTCTGTCTGTTTTGCTGCAGATGCTTGAGCCTGCCATTTGTCTTTTAACTTTGTTTATGTTGATGTTCTACCATTAAAAGTTTAACCATATACAGGGTGGGCATAAATTTCTTGTGCAAAATCTACTTTGTTTTATTAAACTTGAAATGATCATAGTCAGTTTTATACATGATCTTTATGTCTACCCTGTATTTCGTTTTCATGGGAAAGAAATCCTCAATGGCCCACTGGGCATTTCCTACCCAAAGGTTATACCATTTTCCTTCTTTAATTGCGCATATATACCTATTTATAAATTTGTACATCAGACATTTTTATAGATGGCATGAGGTAGAGGGTTTTTTCTTTTTTTCAGATTGGTAGTCAATTATGCCAGCACCATTTATAGCCACCTCTCCCTGAATGAAATCCAACTGTCTATGATTAATTACTCAGATCTACTTCTGGACTCTCTGTCCCATAATGTTTGCCTATTCCTGAAATAGTAGTATACACTTTTTATTTTAAAAGCCCCAAACAAATATAATCTCTAGTAAGATAACCTCCCTCTTTTTGTAGTTACTGTGGCTGGTCTATGACATCTACTTTATTTTATGCACTTTGAAATGATTGTATTCAGTGAGTAAATCCCACATGGTGCTCTAGGCAACCTTCTTTGTGTGATGAGGTCATCTTCTTATGAGTGGTCACTGCTGGTTTTGTTAAAGTTCTCTTCTGACTCTTCTTTTATCTCTACTTTTTTGGTTGCTACCTGCTTTAAGTATCCACCTTGTCTTCCTCTCCCCCACCCCCCTTTCTGGGTTTCCTTGAATGGATTGTTTTTCCTAATCTCTTCATGGGTTTTCTATATTCTCAGCAGGCAAGACAGGTTATGGAAAGTGAGCAAAATGCAAGTTTGTCTCCTGAAAGTTAATGAAATAGCGATCTGATTACTCTTTGTTTAGGCACTGAGAGGACCAAGCAGAGCTCCCCAGATCTTTGGGACCTAGGCAGCACACAGAAAAAAACAAATTAAGGAGAGTTGAGACCTCAGGAATTACATGCTGAGACCTCCAGAGTTACAGGTGCAGACTGCCTGTGTTCCTTCAAGAGCCCATCAAACCTATAGTGATTCTTTCTCCCACCAAAGGACAAGCCTCACCCTTCAGAGCTGGTACCTGCCTTCTCTGTCCCTCCCAAGAGCCTCTATACAAGACCCCCAAACCAGTCCATCCAAGGAAGTGTAAGTAGTTGGTAATTTTTCAATAAGAGGAGAGAAAGTGAAGGACCTGTGAAAAAAGAAGTAACAATAGAAAAGACAGCGGTTGGAAACCTACTCCACTTCAAGATAGCAGTGTCCGTTTTGTTCTGTTTTGTGTAGGAAGGAGAGTGGCCGCAGTCTTGGGATTTTCACTGGAAGGTGATGCTTTCCATTTTCACCTTTCCTTTTTATCTCCCCATATTCCATCACATACATTCTTATCATGACTGCAGCCACACTGCTGTTTTTCCCATTTAGCCTCATCCTCTCTCTACCTCTCTCTCTTTACTTATGTCTCTTCATTTCCATTTTTATTCATTTCCTGTGCATAATCTTTGCGCTTTGAAATTTGAGCTTGAATCTTGGAAAGATGACAACTGGAAGAAGATGTCTAGCTCATCCTTTCCTCCTCATAATCTGACTTAAACATATATTGTCAGATTAAAAGACAACATTAGATCTTTACTTACAACTCTTCTTCTTAAGAATTACTGGCATAT